TTGTTCCTCAATTAGTTTGACTTCAAAATATTGACAACTAATTTTATTTTAGATAACAACAGATAACTAGTGGATTCCACTTACAAATATTATAAAATGGTATGTGTACGTAAATCAGTTTTAGGTACATTTTCCTTTATTTAGTTAAAGACGGATAATTCATATCCTGGTTCAAGGATTCACAAAAATGATCAATGAAAATTGCATATATAATTCACACAGGATTATTTGTAGCATTATTTAATTTCTTACCACCTAACCTTAAAAAATATAAATAAATGGAATTTGACGAAAGTTATACTTCATTCATCACCTATATCACAGCAAATATTCTTCTGTTAGTGTTTGAATTCTTAGTGACAGCTCGAGAACATCCCACATTTCATTTGTTTAGTGAGAACAGAATTAATTAATTAATATTTAAATATTAAGCCATAATAATAATATCCAATTGCTCAACTTAATTCAACGACCTCCATGAAACGCTGCAAGTTGTATTAATTATATTAGGGGGCATCCCAAAATATGCGTGGGACGACGTTGATTCTATTACACAGTTTTGGTTTTTTGACTTTGTTTCTTAATTTCGACGCGGTTCTTATCTCATCTATGATGCTTCATATGTTAATTCAATCGAATCAGATTTTCTTTTTTCCTAAAGCAAAATAATGGTTTGACAGTTGACACTTAGGATTAATGTGTACGTAATTCACGTGATTATTGTATCTCAAATCAATGTCAATTTGATTTTTAATGCATAACCGACTGCAACAGAATGAAATCACACACACACACACACACACACACACACACACACACACAGGGTGATTTATAGAATGAGATTTATGTAATAGAGTAGTTTGTTCATTTGTAAACCAATCTCTCTCGGTGGATAGAGGATAAAGAGTAGATAATTCTTAATCAATTTATATGCTTAGTTTAAATATATAATAGTTACGTAAGATTTATGAAATATTTTTTCTTATTCTTCAAGAAAAAATTATATAAATTTTAAAAACAGAAAATTTGTGTAATATATATAAAAATTAAAATATTTATGAGAAGGCCAAGATATAATAGCAATAAAATATAAGTTTACATTTATTTGAAAAGAACTGCAATGCAAGCATCACAAAGAAAATTATGGTGCAAGTTGAATGATAAAGAAGATATGTTTCAGTTGTGTATTTAGTAACTTAGTTGGGAGATGTTTATTATTTACCCTTATTCCTTTGGAAAAAATAATTTCTATTATTGGAAAAATTTACTTTTTGTACATAAAATATATGTATCTGCGCGCGCGCGCCCCTTGTGGCCCAGTAATACTTGTACCCCTCCTTCAATGAGGAGGCTCCGTGCTCAATAGAGTGAGAATTTGTAATGTGTGTGTTTTTCTGCCTTTTGGATAGGAATGTAAATATGGGTGAGTGTGTGGATATTATAGGTAATTTCTTAAAGGATTAAACTATGCTAAAATATTGTTTTCATTTAAAAAATTCAATTCATCTCCTCCCCTCTATTCGGCTTTAAGTAAATGAAGTCAATAAGTTGCATAATATTCATTTAATTATGTTTACTATCACTATACTTGTGATTATTGTCGTGTTATAAATAAAAGCATATAAAGTATTAGGAAGGGTAGTGGCTTATAAAAATTAAATATTAAAATAAATTATACACATTTTGTTTAAATCAATATATCAATACCATTAATAACATCAATATATAATAAAATCGTTGGGAATATATACACGCACACAAAATAAAATCAATAACAAATCATAATATTCACAACCCATGTATAATGGAACTCACCTTTCTTGAATGTCATATAATGCTCCATTGAAATTCGTCTGTACATATGATAAAATATATAATAAAGTATGTAACAATTTACTTTGGAGATGTCTACTATTTATGCTCAGCATATCCGGAGAGATATAATCTTTATTATTAATGGAGCCTATTTTTTGTTCTATAAAAAAATATAATAAAGTAAATATCATTAACAAATTATAAATAGTACGACTATTTTTTTGGGTAAACATTAGTACGACTCATCTTTTAAATTTTATATAATGTATAGAAATATGAAGTGTCATAAAAAATGATAAATATTTCCAATTTTTATGATATATAATTTATCATTGTTTTTAATTTCTGAATGAATTATCTCTCCTATAAATTATATAAAAGGCGATTTTAACTAAAACATATCAAGTCACAAACTCATAGCAATAGTTTATATTTTTACATAAAATTTTAAGATATTAGATACTATTGATATTAACTATGAAGTTAGATTTGAATATTATTGCATTTTATGAAAAGTTATTTCTTTCATCCACAAAATTCTAACAATCAATCATATTTGAGATTATAAATCAAGTCTTCTTTATTTGACTTAATTATTAACATTTTTTAAGAAGTACTAAAATATTCCTTTTTTTTATAGATAAATCCTATATAATTTTAGGAAAAGGAAATACCAGTATTTTTTTTAAAATAAAATATTATATAATTAATTCTGAAAAAGTCTTAAGAGTAAACTTTACGGATAAAAGGAGTAAACTTGATATCTTTTTCTTCTTGTTTTTTTTTTTTTTTAAATATGAATAAAGGTTAAATATGTGAACGCGCTGCATGGTTTGTCAACCATTAACTTTCAGCCAGCTGGCAGTTTTTGGGAAGTCAAACTATGCAACTTTTTCCTAACCCGCATTTCGGGGAATTATTCAATTAATTCATATATATTTTAAATAAAATAGTGACGCGTTATTTACATTTACCACCTCAACACTAATTTCTTGGAAATTATCCATGTGGGACAGCAGGGAAAAATCATGTGAGCGAACAGACATAAAATTTTGAGGAATAGTTTTTCCAATAAAAAAATTCAATGATTAATTTTGTCATCAATTGTTCATTTATGGTTCTTGGAATTTTTTTTTTTGCAACTTTAATGGATTTATTCTTGAAGTAATTAGTCCACCAACAAAATTAAAGATGAAAAGTTTGCTAATTTATATAGTTAAATTGATAATTAGTTGTCATTTTACTTGTGGAGCATGATGCTCTTTCTCCATTCCTTTTTATAAGGCAAAATTACTTACTCTACATGTAAAAAAAAAAAAATACTCTGATCATTTCAAATTATAAAATATTTTCATAAAAGATTTGATATTCTACATTATAAAACATTTTAATAAAAATAAAGTTTTATTAATGATAATTTTTTTATATTACTCTTCTTATATATTCTCTCTTTTCAATATTTTTCCATCAACGGAGTATTAAATGAATGATATTTTTAAAAATTTATATTTTTATCTTCAAAAAGTAAAATTATAAAGTGTTTTTAATAAGTTTTATTAGCATGTAAGATTATATTTAAAAATGTTTTATAATTTAAGATAGAGGGAGGCAACACTTTTTTTTTTTAAATCAAAATTCACTATCTTTTCACAAATGTTTTCGTCCTCTTACACTCTCTTTCTTAATGAATCAAAAGTACTCTCTCTATCTCAAATTATAAGGTATTTTTTTAAAAAAAATTTTATTTAAAAATATAAGACACTTTAGATAGATTAAGGTTTCATTAAATGCAATAATTTTAATATTACCATTTCTCTTTCTATAATTAATTTCTATCTTTTTTTAATATGCTAAATGACGAGTATTTTTAGAATTTTATATTTTTATTTTAAAAAAATAAAGTTATTAAATGTATTTAATGAGATTTATTGATATGTATGATTTTATTTAAAAGTGTATTATAATTTAGGACCAAGGGAGTACTTTTTTTTGAAATGACATTTTTGAAAAAAAAATATATAATTACTGTCTAGATTTCATAAATCGTCTTATAAATAAAAACATTGAAATCATGTAAAAGTTGTCTTAAACGTATTTTATTAATCATATGTTCTACTTAAAATTTAACATAACTTAAATTTTCCCTCAAGTAGTGCGCCATAATTATTTTCTCAGCCCATAATAGATCATGCCTGGTTGAATAATTGACAAAAAGATTCTGAGACAAAACACTTTTAATATTGTTATTAGTATTAATATTATTATTATATGAGGTTGAATTTGAAAGGCAAATCATGTGAGAGACAGAGAGAGAGAGAGATTAGCATAACAGTGCTAAAAGGAAACTCACAAAATAATATTTGGAAAGTGGGAAAAAACAATATAAGCCTCCAAAATAGTCTGGACCAATAATTGTAGGAGAGGTACCGGACAAGCTTGACGTCAGAAGAAGTGGGGGGCACAAATTCACGCAAAATTTAGCTAACCAATTAATTAAATTAGACCCAAATAAATATTTTATTCCTATTTTTAAAAATAATTTACATGGATCCCACATACTGCATGAGAATAATAGACTCACAAACGTAATATAACTTTTAATCCCTTAACTCTTTTTCAATTACGGATGTAGTCCTTAAACTTCGATTAAGTATATCTTAATTTTAGTAATTCATTAAAGAATTATAAATATTAGATTATACAGAATCAAAAAATTTATAAATGACTGAATTATTCCAAATCAAAAATTATACTCCATTCATTTAAAAATATAAGACTTTATTTGAAAAGTTATATGTTAACATTTTTAAGTCTTTTAAGATGTAATTATTATTTTTTAAAAAAATATTCCTACTTAAAAAATTATTTTATATTTATTTTAAGATAAATCACCATTAAATAAAAATAAATATAAAAGGATATAATTAATTTAAAAATAAATAAATATTTATTAAATGTGATATTCATTTAAAAATATATTTAAATAAAAAGAGTGTTAGCCATATTGATTCGAGTCCAAGTTTAAAAGTTCAGCAGTTAAAGATATAGTTTTTTTTTAAACTACAAAATTTATAATTTATATTAACGTATAAAAAATGTTCTGGAAAAATTAAATTTTTATTAAAAAATTTCTTCACTGGCGGCAACAATTTTCCAGTATATATAGAGAGAGAGATATATCAAATTGTGATCTGTCTTTCTTTCTTGTCATAACTTCCAACCAAAATTGAGATGGACCCTTCTGTAAAACTGAAACTAGTTGAAGGTCACTATTTTTAGCCTCTTTTCTCCAGATTTTCTTTATATCTTCCTTCCTCCTCTGTTTCTTCTTGAAACCCATTCATTATCTTCTTCTTCCTTTTCATCTGCTGAATCAAAACTCGCAAAAAATCATCGCCATGAAGCAGCAGAGGAAGAAGAAGACGACTAGGATTTGCTGGATTCCTCCAATTTCACTCGTCCCCATTTGCTGCTTCCTCTTCTTACCCATCATTGCTCACAGCTCAAATGACCAAACTTCAGCTACAATGAGGCTTGAATTGGTTCACAGGCACGACCCTCGAGTTCAGTTCCATGGCAGGAAACAGAGTCTTGACAGGTTCGAACGAGTCAAAGAGCTTGCTCACAGAGACATGATTCGCCACACGAGAAGGAAGGTTTGGGAAACTTTTGAAATGCCAATGCACGCAGGGAGAGATTTAGGAGCTGGAGTGTATTTTGTTCAAGTCAAAGTTGGCACACCATTTCAGAGATTCTGGCTTATTGCAGATTCAGGAAGCGATCTCACCTGGTTCAACTGCAATTACAAGCCTCAAAATTTCACTTCACATCGCAAGCGAAAATCTCAGAGCCGAAGGAGGGTGTTTTCTCCTCATCGTTCTCGTACATTTCAACCAGTGGCTTGCTCATCTCAGGAATGCAAGGTTGATCTCAGCCACCTGAATTCTCTCCGGGCTTGTCCTAATTCATCAGCTCCATGCCTTTATGACTACAGGTAAGATTTTTTCTGTCCAAGTTTCAATTTTACTGCAGACAGATTGAGGGGGTTGTTCTGAAATGCGATCTGCAACAAGTTTTGTGGCCAATTAATTGTGTTTCCGCTTGTGTCTCAGACTTTAAAAATCTTGTGGGGAAGGGAGACAGACGAGCACTGTTGGGAGAGGATGTCCTTGTTTAAATTAAGTAGTCAAGTCCCGATATAAAAGCTGGCCAAAAATAGTTGGAACATGTCCCTTTTTGTTATGGGGTTGAGTTTAATTTTTCAAGGTTTGAATGTGATTGATATTTAATAGCATCATTCACATTCACAAGTCACAACCTATGCTAGCAGCCCATCTAGGTGTGCTAGAAACAAAAATGCATTTATGCTTCTGAAAGGTGTGTTAGTGTATTTATAAGCTTGCTTATCCACACACATCATGATCAATGACGAAGTGCTCTATGATTCATTCGGAATATCCGCACTATGTGCATGTAGTATTGCTGCGGATAGTGTTCTGCTATATGACCTTTAACAAACAGGTTGCATATAGCAACCATTCTTTCCAGCATTCAAACAATGGTTATAAATGCTAGTTAATGCAAGTAGGTGAGCTTCACATGACCCACATTGCTGCACCAAACCTAGAAACATAATGAATCCTATAGGCTAGCTCTACCTAGAAACCCATTTTTGTTTTCAATTAATACATCCAAGCCTGCAACCATTTTGACCTCTCTTCTCGATCTTGTACTGTACTGTGCAGATACCTTGATGGCTCAGGAGCAATGGGATTGTTTGGCAGGGACACTTTCACAGTAGGCCTGACAAATGGGAGGAAAGGGAAACTGAGAAACATGATTATTGGATGCACAAGATCTGTGATTAAAGGTCCAACAGTTAGCAAGGACATTGATGGCTTATTAGGGCTAGGTCTTTCAGATGACTCTTTCGTTGCTACAGCTGCTTCACAATATGGAGGCAAGTTCTCATACTGCTTAGTTGACCATCTAAGCCACAAAAACGTTTCAAATTTCCTAACTTTTGGCACAACAATTTCAAAAGCAAGTCTCCTGAGAGAAATCCACACAACCCCACTTGTGGTAATCTCTTCAAATTATGGCCTAAATGTGGTAGGTATCTCCATTGGAGACCGGCTTCTGAGAATCCCACAAATAGTCTGGGATTTCAATGCTAATGGAGGAGCCATACTTGACTCAGGCACTTCCTTGACATTACTTGCCATGCCTGCCTATGTATCTGTCATGGAGGCTCTGGTGAAACCTTTAGATGCGTTTGAGAAAATGAAGGCATTTGAGCCATTTGAGTATTGTTACAGTAAAAAGGGGTTCAATGAGAGTTTAGTGCCAAGACTGGCTTTTCACTTTGAAGGAGGTGCAAGGTTTGAGCCACCAGTGAAGAGCTATGTGATTGATGTTTCTCCAAAAGAGAAGTGCATTGGGATTGTTGGAATTGATTGGCCTGGTGTTTCAATCATAGGCAATATTATGCAGCAAAATCATTTGTGGGAATTTGATTTGTTTCATAACACTGTGAGCTTTGCTCCATCTCCATGCTGATATATACCAAATTTAAGTGTTTGGTTCTTCATTTGCAGGAGAAGAAACAGCACACAAACAGACAAGCAAATGACTTTAATTTGAGACTTCTTATAGTTGCTTTGTTGTTATATATTGTGATGTGATTATGACAATGATGATTAATATATTCTTTCAATTCTCTTTCTATATAATTTCTTTGTTTAATAATACATACAAATGTGTATCATAAAGCAAGTGAAAGTTTCTTTTGTGCGACTCATAACAATGCTTCCCTGAAAATGTATGGTGTATAGCTCTAACGTTTAATTAATTACCCTCTTTTTATTTTCTCTTTTCTTCTTTTGAATTTCTGGGTGCCTTTGCATAATTTTCTATTTTTGATGAGTGAGCTGTCTATGACCAAGCCATGAGAAAATATTAGTTGAGAGGTAGAATGACATCAAAATCCTAAAACAATGAACTTATGACACTTAGGTCCTTGGCAATTTTTTTATTTTGAAAAATCAGATGTAAATATTGATACATATAATTATAAGTTTAGGAGTTCTAACTACAAATATGATATCTAAATTTTAAATATAACTCTTAATTTGCATTTGAAATTCTTGTTTGCAACTATTTGAATCAATATTTGCAACTAATTTTCTTGTAAATTTGTCGAGAATTCAACTATCATAAATTTCAAATTTTGGAATTTTATTGTCACTTTCCCTAGTTAAGATATTGACAAACTCATAAATTCTTAGGCTTTGGTTTAGAAACATACATAAAATTAGACAATCATGAGTGAATATGCATGACAACAAATGTTAGTCCAGTAAGTAAGAATTTGATCGTAACCCAAAAGATTGATTTTGTTGATGATGAGTGATTTGTAAATATTCCTATAAATATTTTTTGAGTTGAAGACATGTCATCGCTTTGGTAAGTTCTCAAAATACGACTCACTTATTTTTTTTTTCAATCAAAACAAATGAATGAATGTGCATGCAAGTACATGGATCTAATCAAGGTTTTTCCTTTATTTTTTCTGAAGATGAAATAAAACTTAGTCTTCAGGAATACTTTTTTGTTTAGGTGAAACGTCCGCTAAAGGTAATTTATATAAAGTCAAAGAGTTGAGTGCATGATGATATTCTAGTTCTTACCTAAAACCATGTGGGGAGCTTCTTTTGAAAATCTTAACAATTAATGCTACATTATTGACGTTGTTAGTTTTGTTGCTATCTTATCTTCAAGTATTGTGTAGAAAATTTAACTAGATTGGACCAACCATCTATATGAGCATCATGTGAGTTTAAACTATATTTTTTTATATTTTTATCTTTATTTAAATTTTGTTGTTGTTTGTTTATTTGAGTCCAATTTGTATGTACACACACATTATTAATTTTATCCTTTCTTATTTGACGAAGTTATGCACGATTAAAAACACACTAATTTAATTATAAACTATTCAACCACAATTGGATAATAATATATCTTAAACCATTTTTATAAATATGATTCTCTAATAATCCGTCCAATTTAAGAACATTACGTTCAATTTGGCTTCTTATAAAGTTGCCTTCCTAATTTAATTTCTCAAAATCGAGGATGTTGAATAAACTTATTTTAAAATCTTAATGGAGTTTGAATCTTGAAATATACAATTGTATTAAAGTTAAAAAAATACAAAAAATATCCCTAAGGTACATGTAAAGCCAACATTGATAACAATAGTCTCACACAATAGGGTTCAATTGGTGTAAATACTTCCAAATTTTCTAGGCTACCAATGGAGTTAAAAAAAAAAAAGGAAGAATGACATAAACTTCTTTGAAATAGGAAAATAATAATTTGATCTTGTAAAATATGATAACGATAGTAAAGTCTCAAAAAATTTCTTTGAGATTAAATTTTGGTGTAAAATTACTTCAGTATTTATCTGTAACTAATTTTATATAATTCACAAGTTTGGGATAAGCATTCTCAAGTTTGATTTTACTAATAACTAAAATAAGTCATGAAATCACAACTTTTTATTAGTAATTTTCATTTAACAAAGTCCAACTAATTTTATATGATTGATTACAAGTTTGGTATAAATATTCACAAGTTTTGTTTTACCAATGACTAAAAATATTTACGAAAATAATTTTATATGGTTGATTACAAGTTTGGCATAAGTATTTACAATTTTCTATTATCAATTTTATTCATTCAGTAAAATCCAATTACTTTTATATAATTCACAAGCTTGGTATAAATATTTGTAAGTTTAGTTCTACTAAAAACTAAAATAATTTACAAAATCACAATTTTCTATCAATTAAAGTTCAGTTAATTTTATATCATTTACAAGTTTAATATAAATATTCGCAAGTATTGTTCTACCAATGACTAAAGTGATTTAAAAAATCATAACTTTTTAAATCACAAAGGAGTATTAAAATGATTTCACACAAAAATTTAATATTAAATAAATCCGTTGAAACCTCATTGTTAGCATCACATTTTATGAGATCAAATTGTCATTTTTCTATTTTAAAAATATTTTTACTAAAAAAAGTTAATTTCTGAAAGACATTTTTGTTTAGTCGCCCTTAAACCACTTTAGAAATACTCACATTAAAGAATTATTACTAATAACATTTGCATATATGGAAGATATTGAAGAAAAAACCAAATTACAATATAGTATAAAATATTAATTTGTCCCTTCACAAGCAATTTAAGCCCTTTGACCACAGAACAACTTCGATCTCAGAATTCAACAAGAACTCTTGCATTATCTTGTAGGCATTAATCATTAACGAAAAATCTTAATTATAATTACAAACATATCCGATAGACTTAATCTCACACGGACACACACATACGCAAACGTACACAACATATTATCTTGCTGGTAGGTTCAGAGTGATAAAGAATGCTCACAAACGTATGTGAGAATGCCACAACAATGGTTGACGTGGACGACTATCATTAGCTGATAGTAGATAGATAATGCAAGTTTGTTATAATGATTGGAAAGGACAAATATCCCAAAAGAGATAACAAAGTGAAAATGTATTTTGCTTTATAATAAGTTGTAGCTATCATTTTTAGACAGTGAAATGTGTGAGACAACTCAGCCTATGAAAATTGTTATTTAATTAATGAAATATAAAAATATTAATGATGACGATCACCATTATCATCATATCCTAATTAAAATAATATTAAGATAAGAGTGTGGATTGATGGACTCATGAAATGGAGAGAAAGACAAAGATGTTTCTGTAGCAGTTATGAATTTAACAGTTTTGAGTTCATGATTTACAAGTCAATTAAATTGGGTGACCAATTATTAATTATAATAATTCATTCATGCCAAATCTTACCACGTGCAATGTTTTGCGGCTCTTGTTATTTCATTTTCAGGATATATATCTTTTTTGATCAAATTTTCACGATATATATCCATCACCTTCTCCAATCTTTAAATTATATATTATTTTCTCAATTTAATTTTTTTAAAAAATAATGTGTAATATTCAAGTCATTCATTTGATGTACTAGCAAAAAAATAATAATGATAATAATTTGGCTAAATTATACTTTTGAGTCCTTTTTTTATTTAATTTTCTATTGTATTATAATTAAGTCGGTAATTCATTTCCTGCGTTGCTTTTGACAAATTTTTGATATGGTCGGCTGCCATTAAATCTTCTAGTGTGTTAAAGAACCTGTTGCGTCACATGACACGAACATGACTGAATGAATTACTAAGAAATTTATTTTGCTTTGGATATTTATCACTTTAGTGAGCATAGATAATGATACATATCCAAAACAAATATAATTTTTTATTTAGTCACATATATTCTTTTATTAAAGACAATTCTATTTAAAATACTGTTAATGCATTACGTATAAGTAGGTAAAAGTTTAAACATTAATTCATCATATTATGAAAGACTAATACCCATAGCTAGACCCAACCCCTAAGCACATTTAGTGGATTGATATATCTAAAGGGAAAAATGACAAGAAACTAATGTTGTGTATGGACAAGGAAAATTTAAATTTAGGCTAAATTCCTCATTTGGATACATAATATTTTATGTTCCAAATCTTTTTTTTAATTATAGTTTTTTTGTAATTTCAAATTTCTTTTATACTTCTTTTATCCTCATCATGTTTTCATTGTTCATATCTCTATATCACTATAGCATATTCTCTCATCTCGTGTTTTTATCTCTCATTAATTAAAAAATGCAGGTAAGTTCATTACTCTCTCTCTCTCTCTCTATATATATATATATATATTTACTTTGAATCTCAATTCGTCTTTATTCTTGCTTTAAAATCTTTTAAATCACATGAAATAAAATATTTTAAATGCATAAATTTTAAATGTGAGATTTAAAATCTAAAATCTAAAGTCAAATGTATCAAATCAAATGCCATTTGAGACAGATATAATTAATAATAATGTGAATTGTACGAATCAATAGGAGTTTAATTTAGTAGAATGACTAGTTTTCAAAACATTAACAAATCAAGATTTAAATTTTCAATCAGAAAAATGTCCACATCTAATTATCAACCGAGCTTCAAATATAATTGCTTCAATAAAATAAAGAACACATGTGTGCAATAAAAAAAAATTATGAACCATATTTAAAAAAATAAAAAATAATAAGGAGATAATTAAATATAAAATGATTAAAGTATGAGTATAAGTGAACATAAATTGTGGCGCGTTTAACGGGAATCAGAAAATAGTTGTACCTACTTTGCTTACTCTCAGTCTCCCTTGTCATCCTTTCTTGATGAGCCTCACGTTGCCACTTCCCTTTTAAATGCATCTCCTTACGTTCTCCATGTGCTCTTTGATCTCTTCTTACATACTTGCATCGCACATCTCTCTCATACATACATACATCCTAGTACATATATATTAAAGAATGAAGTGGGCTAGTAAAATAAATTTGGAGGAGAAGTGATCTCGCGCACATGAGACAGGCCAACATAAGGTAATCGCAGTTGAAATCAACCGATTCGCCCCCTGCGTGCAAGTTTAAGAGACAATGAGTTCTTTTTATCGTGTTATTTTTACAAAAATAATTATAATAATTATTTTTAATTTACCCAAAAAACCTTTAGTTTTGCTGTTTTGAATTTAAACTTGAAGCCTTAGCAGTTTTTCAACATTAAACCTCTTCTAAAAATTGATTTTCTGAGTTAATGTCCTAAATGTTTTTGTCTGCCAACGT